CCGCCAAACCGCCAATCCGCTCAATCCACATTCGCCGGATTGACGGACAGATGCGGATTGATTTTCTCCAATCCACCAATCTGGCGGAAGGATGACGGATTGGAGGTTTTGTGGCCGTAACCGACCCTCGCCCGCCCTACTTTTTATATCACACATGGAGCTGATGTGTTGGTAATGTGGCATATTTTGTTAGTTTTTTTAATAGAAGTTAGTCTATGAGTAAAGTGAGAAGGATTGAAAATATGAAGAGCCAAAGAGGGAATAATTTTAAACATGAAAGGTCAAAGTAAGAAAATTAAACTTAAAAAGGTCAAAGTAGGAATGATTATAAACATGAAAAGGCAAAGTAAGAAAAATCAAATTTAAAAGATGGGTAAAACTCTGAGGGGGCAAAGTGTAATTTACTCCAAGTACAATACAGAATTAACCATATAATCAATTATAAGGAATATAAGTCGAACAATTTGAACAAAAGTAATCTATTTAATAATGAATCACGCCAACTAACATGTAGTTTCAAATAATTTTATCATTGGTCATATGTTCCTAGAATAAAATTTCATCTAATTTATCTCATATACCATTGATCATGACATCATATAAAATTTGATTTACAATTATTTTACTTCAATAATTTCTTTATATTATTTTTGGTTCATGTCGTAGCAAATAAATGCATGTTGAAGGTAGCTTCTATAATTAATTTGGAATCACTTTCTTAATTTACAAGTCCACTATTATTTGTTTAGATAATTTTTCTTATAAAAAAACTAATAAAATTGAAAGGAAGAAAGCATACAGAGTAATAAAATTCTTTTATTTTTTTATCCCGAATTTTATCACAATATTTCAAACAAACAAATCTCACTAAATATCTCCTATACGTCAATAATTATATATATTTTCAAATTTCCTGAATATAACGAATATTGTACTAAAATTTTCTGATTATTTACCATAACTATAAAAAGGGCTTTTTTTCATACACATTAGCTTAACTAGTGGGTGGCACACACGATGTGTGTGCAATTTAAATGAGTAGGAATAAAAAATAATAATAATGAAATTAATATTATAATATGTACTTAGCTTAAGTGGTATGAGTTGTCCATCTCTTTGTTTAAGTTTTTTTTTTAAAAATAAAAAATACTGCCACATGGCATGAAGAGAGTAAAACTTCAGGACACTAAAGTTCCTGTTCACTTTATAATATAATAGTATAGTATAGATAGATATATATATTTGTCTACCATGCGAAGCCTAATCAGCCGGTAACTTTGCACTATCCACACCACCTCCATTTTAGGGCAGATTACGCAGAGATATTGAAAGAGAGAACTCATAGTCCCATCGCCACAGCCATTGAAGCAGTCCTCCACTCTTCAGGTACCACCCCTCTCCTCCTCTGCCTTCCCCTCAATCTGGGTTCTTTGTCTTTGTTTCCAAAATCCGAAGAAATTTTTCATTATTGGGTGAAAAAGGTGAGAGCTTTGTCTAGATAATTTGTGAATATGAGTAACCCACTTTCCCCATTCATTAAAGAGGACAAAAACATCTGCCGGGGCCTTGCTCCTTGATCCCAAGCCTAGATCAATTATAGAGACAAAAACATAGTTGGTGGAGAGCCAAAAAACAACCAAGATGAGAGCCGAGAGAGAGAGCCGAGAGAGACAGACAGCCCATGCCCGAGAGAGGGGCTACGGCAGTGGCTGAGATGGAGGAAGCTCCTTATTCTATGCCATGGTGGTTGCTTGACGAAGAAGAATCAGGGGCTGAGAGAGAGAGGGAGATCGAGTCTCGGGAGATGCTGCTGCTGCCATTGATAAAAGACCACGCTCATCATGCTTTAGCTTGGATGATGGTTCATCTGGAAACTGAGAGAGTGACAGCTTCCGCTAACTCCGAATCAAAACAGCGGGAGAGAAGGTGTGTGTAGAAAATAAGCGGAATATGTTGAGGTCCGGCGGGCGGCCAAAGTGAGGCTGCCACCCGCCGGTGAAGCGGAATTACTAGGTTGTCAACCTTGCTCTGATACCATGTAAAAATATATGTATTATTGATTGATTGTATTGATTGATTTCTGTGTGATAGTTACAAATTCCTATATATAGAAGAAAATGTGGTAGTAGGTGTAGGAGTGAAGTGGAGGTGGTAGGTGGAGTGTGTGGTAGTGGAGGTGAGTGGAGGTGGAGTGTGTGGTAGTGGAGGTGAGTGGAGGTGGTAGGTGATGATATATTTTAACACAAGACTTGATTAATTTTTACCCACTTCACTTTCCAATTATGGTCTAGCTTCTTTTCAGTCCGATTTAGTTCATAATCGAATTGGAAGATGTTATTGGGCCTGTTGGGGTTCACTGGAAGTCCCGTTTCGATAATCCGAATCGTTCAATGTGTAGAATTCGTTGAGTACTATATATTTGTAAAAAATCACGTTGATCGAATATCGATAGCTATCTCATCGGATAATATTTCTGTCAATCGTTTATTTTTTCACCGGCCATTTTTTTTATACAAAACTAATTTGATCATATAATTATCGATATCCGATTAATGTGATTTTTCACAAATATATAATACTCGACGGGTTCTATACATTAAACGGTTCGGATTATCGAAACGAAACTCGTGATGAGCCTCTATCAACCCAACAACACCCTCCAATCCGATCACAAACTAGAGGGAAGTTAGACCCTTCCAATTGTCATCTTTGTTTCAATAATACTCCAATGCTTCTGATCTTTGTCGACTAGTTTCTTGGTTCTACACTGAAGGCAAATCGCGAATTACTAAAAGGGATCAAAACCATGAAAACGATTCCACCTAATGAGACAATTTTTAATAGTATCTTGGCTCGAAAATCATTGATAGACCTATATCAATATCTTAATCCTTTTTTGAGTATTGAACTGATCAAGTCCTCTCTATGAACCTCTTCTTGTTTTGACTCGGAGAATTCCAACTTTCTTTCAAACAACTAATAATGGAAGATTTCAAAAACGATTTTTAAACTCTTGTTTAAAAATGCTTCTCTTTAGATTTTTCCATTCCATGTTATTGCATTTAGTGTATTAAAACAAATAAACAAATCAATTGTCAAATTCTTGGTTATGGTCCAAAATGCTGCCACTCTTTTGCTTTTGCATAAATGTGTTCGAATGTTTTATTTGTCAAGAAATTTGAAAAGAAAAATAATTTAAATAAAATAAAAACAAAAATAGCTTCTTTTTTTATCTTCATAAATCAAAAATTTAAACAAAATCTAAAAGTATTTATATTTTTTGTACTAGAAATTTTATGATATAAATCCAATCTGCAGTTTTCAACTTCTAAAAACTTTTCTAAATAATTTTTCTGGATACTTAGCAGTGAGACCGCATAACCAAACAAAGGGAAAGATTAAAGCAACCTCTTCCTTCTATTTGGTTCATGATTATCTAACCAAACAAGAATATGGATACCTCCCCTTCTTTCCCTTCTTGATTCCCTTTCTCTTGTTCCAATCCCTTACTTTCAATCAAATTCTCTCCCCAATAATGCCCCTAAAGCATGACCATGAAACCACCATTCTTTGATATTCCTTGAATACACATGAGAAAGGAATACTGGTCATATGAAATAATCATATTTCAAAAGCAAAGCAATTCTCTAGATAGCATAATCCCAAATACTGGTGTTGAAAGAGTCTTTATAACACTATTATTTTGACACCAACAAACTAAGCACGGCCTTGAATTAGCTCTTCAATTTTGGGTTAAGGGCCTTAGCCCCCATTTGCCCCGGCTCAAACTCGGGATTTTTTTAAGATGCAGCAGTTCTCACCTGCAAACAGGAACCCAGGAGCAGAATATCCAATAGTAATTGAGAGCATAATCACTTACCTGATCTTTGAAATGATGATAAAAATGAGACTCCCTGCTAACGCGAGAGACAAAATGTACTCAACCTTACTCCCATTTCAAGAGAGGTTTCTGTGATTCCATATGAAATGATGATATAGTGAAAAATAATGCAGAGTCTGCAAAGCTAAGACATCTCTATATTCCAACATTACATCTTGCTTTCAATTCAAGAGCTAAACTTCAGCAGAAAACTCATGCAACATGTTCTGCATAAAAAATTTTAGACACAGAAAAGTTTTTCCACTTGAGAAGTGTTTTCATTAACACCATTACCAAATGGCTGTATTACAGTTTTTGTCACAAAAAAAGTAAAAGAAACATAATTTGAAGTACTAAAGCTGAAAGTCTCAGTTTGTAATACCCCTAGGCATTATTCTTGCCATTCTTTTATTCTTACTAGTTCACAGACTCAGAAGCACACGTTGGCAGATGAAGATGTGGGCCCAGAAGCCTTAACTGGAAGTGGGTCCCACATCATTCCTTCCGTGCCACAATGAGTAGCACCCGTAATGCCATCACCTGAGCCTGAACTAAACCCTGTAATGGCACCTGAATGAGTGGCCTTTTCTCTTTCAGCCACAGCTTTCAGACGGAATCTCTCAGCCCTAGAGCCAATGACCTGTCCAAGGATAGAAGCTCCGATTGTCAACACCATAGCATTCTTGGGCATCAATACAGACTTCCTAAGCATCGCTATGAAGGGCACGGAAGCGTGCACCGCTGTAAACCACGAAAGTGAGAATTTCCGAGTGTGTTCCCTCCATATGCCGAGAGGAATGTTAGCTGCCATGCCCAAGACTCCAATTATGAGGATTTTTTCAGGGAGAGGTTGGGGGCGAAGCGACTTGACGAGGGCAGTCCGGGCAAGGGCAGCTCGGGCAGCAACTACAGCAGGAGGACATTTAATCTTCATGCCAGGTGGCGGCTGAAGAGCTGTTGCAACAAGGGGAAGAACGTGGCTAACAGCTCTGTAAGACTTGGCAATCGGACAGTTCCCAGTTTCTAGCCACTCATTTCCCAGTGCCTCGTGTTTTGATGAATCTCCTCCCTGAAGGATTTACAACATGACGAAATGTAAGTTTTGTGAATATATAGTAAATACTTCCAATAATACTTTCTTTGATGGAACAGACATTATTCAAGGGGTAATTGGGAAGGTCTGAAGTAATTACTCACCTGATTGAAAAAATTACTAAACATGTAGCTCCTGAGCAGGCTTATATGGTAGCAGGATCATAGCTTAATTACAAACGCTAACAACACACTGTAATTACTACTCTTCTTGTTATTCTTAAATCTGAACCCGTTCATGTTTATTATAAAAATAAAATAAAAAATCAATCACTGCCATTTTCAGAAACAAATTGTACATTCAGTTCAACACGTGTACCTGAGAAGATTGCTTTCTCTTTTTGGATGACTCAGATTTCTTTTTCTGATTATTCCAATTCTTGGAGAAGAAATCAAAGCCAAATGGGCCCCCAGATCCAAATCCCGACAAACTGATGGAAGCAGCTTTTGCAGCCAAAGGGTTAAACTGAGGCACAGGCTTTGTTTCCAAGCTTTTGTCATGAAAAAAAGGCCTCTCTGAGAGTGGGACTACTCCATCCTTCCCATGAAAAAGCTTAAAAGCTGTATCAAAATTGGGGCCATCTTCAAAGATTGGACCGTTGGCTCCCCTTACCTGAAGAAATGGAAGAAATAAGTCATCTTATAGCATTGTAGCAATATCAGTAGATGAAAGCTGTGGTAATCGGTAAGTAAATAAACAAATTTAACTATGACACTATCAAATATGGTTTAATATTACAAAAAATTAAGGGCGTTGGTTAAGAGTCAAAATACATACAAAAAATTTGAAACTTGAATCCACATTTCAGTTTTTCTTATATACTTTTTACAAATTCCAATACACTTTTTACACATTTTTCAACTTTAACCAACGACCTAACAGTGGTGGATAGCATTCTCCAAGGATTAATATATAACTGCATTAATCTCGTAGGCAAAAGGCAACTTACGGGAGTTGGGATGTTCAGACAAGAGAAAGAGAAGCTGGTGGGCTTGCTAATGTTCCTCAAAAAAGGACATCTTTGGATGTCTTGCTCATTGAAGGGGCACTCAGATGTCTCATTCATTCCTTTGAAGAAAAAATCCATTGCTTCCTTTTTCCTGTGAAGTTTTACTGCAAATAGAGAATTGAAGTGAACTTTTTAAATGGTGCATAAAACTAAATAGAAAATTTTAATGCTCCACAATAATCCCCACTCTATACGTATTGACAATTTTTTCTTCAAAAGAGAAAAATAAAAAGAAAACATAAATTAAATTCTACCATCAGTTGAGCACGACATATAACATGACAGAAGTCATGTTACAGAAAAAGCAAAGGAAACACACAAACAACAACAACAACAATAATAATAAATTAATAAACAAATAAATGGAAAGTCTTCGCTAGACTTGTCAACTGCCTAAGCCTCCCATGTGTTTGCAGTTTGATTATCAAAGAAAGAAAACTACTATAGTGGGTCATTTCGCCATTACAGCAATAAATATTTTATCTTCACTAGCTTCTTGTTTTAGCTATTACTTTTAGTATTAAGGGAATGGTATCAGTATCCCCCAAAAATTGTGGCAACATGCGTGTTCAAATATATTTTATTGAAGAAATAATGAGAGAATTGAGTCAGTTCACTACAGAAATCCTATATTTGTATAGAGATCAACCTTTCATTCCTTTGTGAAGCAAAGTCTCACACCGCTTGGCTACAAAAATAATATTATAAAAGCATATGGGCACCCTCACCTCTTGAGCTAGCTTTTGGGGTGAGTTCTACCCAAAACCGTGTAACATCCTTCTCAAGAATAAAGGGAAGTCACATGTACCTATTAAAAAGTATATCTTTATCTTCTTCTGCCAACATTGCTATAGATATTGCCGAAGCAGAATTAACTCTCAAGTATCATACAGTCTATTGAGAGATAGATTCTGTTATGTACATATTATTTGTACCTAGGTAACCTAATCCGCATGGGAAGGTAGCCGAACTGCGCCTAGCGCAAATTGGCAAATTAATTACTAATTCAGGTCAAATCACAGATTCAAATGGTCAAATCTGTGTATGCGGAAGGAATTTAGATATAACCAATACTTTGCGCCATGTGTACACGATAGTCAAGGTTGTTAAAATCGGGATCCTAGGTAGAATCGGTGAGAGGGTCTCATGGATCAGATCGAGGATCGTAAAATCTTACTTTCTATTAAAAAAAAAGATAAAAATACAAATTAGAATGATCCATATTAAAAATAAGGTGAAAAATCACAAAATCTACAGTCCTACTTACTATTCTACCTACGATCCTATTACGATCCTATACAATCCTACATGATCCCGTACGATCCTACTTGCGACGCTGTTATAACATCGATCCTACAACGATCTAGATCGTTTTAGCAATGTAGGACGATCCTACAATTCAAATCGCGATTTTAATAACCATGACATTAGTATAGGCTAAGTTACACTAGGTGTTTATCCCATGTAAAAAGTGCACGTTGGGGCATGAACACGAGACCAACCACATACTAGTACTACACTTTGACCACTAACCACCATGGCAGTTGTTATTAATATGGTAAATATATATATATATATATATAATTTATTAAAAAGCATGTATTTTCCTTACAAAATCAAGATTATTTATTACAAGAAATCTATGCATAAAAATAGAAACAATTTACAAATAGAGATATTAATGTAATTATATATTATAAATATATATATGGTATTTTCACAAAAGGTGCTCTTGCACTCTTGCTCTTGCTCCTGCTAGTCGCGTTTAGCAAATTGGCTACTTAGATTTGTACATATTTATTTTGTAACATACTGATTCCAGTTCTTTAAAAACATTGTTCCTGACACAATGATGGTATATTACTATTGGCTACGATTACGACTTGCAATAACATGCCCTTGAATTGCAATAAGGAGCTATAGAACTCTAGATAGAAGATCCACAACCACAAGGTCCTGTGCAATGAAAACAGGTGCTTAAGCTTTTAAAAGGCGATCTGTTATTATAGGCAGGACATAAGAATTTTTGTAGGTCACAATCAATTGTTTATCACTCTTTTAAATAAGACCTTACACATGAGAATTTAAACCCATGCTCCAAATATACTTAGAAACAATGCTAGAAAGTGAAATCAAGCAAGGCAATGGCTCTAATTGCAGAGAGAGAGAGAGAGAGAGAGAGAGAGAGAACAAAAAACTGAAAGGGATCAAGGGGGAAAGAAAAAACACAACGCAAAGTTTGGAGAAACAATTAATGTATGATGATAAACCTTTTAGAAAAATGATTTATGGCTTGTCTGGTGGATTAAAAAAAAACTCTTTAACTTACAAGCTAATCTTAAAACCAATTTAAAAACTGGGAAACTCACATATTGATCTAAAACCCAGCCATATACCCCTAAGCAGATTTAAAATTCATCATAGCTACAATTTGTTCCTCAGCATTCTGTGCACAAGTAACAAGATATAAAGATCACATATAATGGGAAAAAGATTTCATGAATGTAGTGCTATTTTAGAATGAAAAATTAAATAGATGATGAGACATTTCAAATGTATTACTATTAAATAGGCTATGTAATTACCAAATAAGCACAGTGAAGTTGAACACTATTTGTCAGTGTTCAAAATTTCAGTTGAGATAGCCAAGAAAATTGAAAATTTGATGAGAGACTGACTTTGGGAAGGATGGAGTGAAGGGAGAAAACATCACTGGGTGAATTGGGAAACTGTTTCTCTCCCTAGAGATAAAAGGGGCCTTGCCATTGGATACATAGTGGCAAGGAATATTGCATTGCGAGGGAAGTGGTTATGAAGATTTCCCTTGGACGGTAATTCATAATGGCACTCCATCATTAAGAGTAAATGTGGGATTCAAGCCAATGGTGGCGATCTTTCTGTGGTTAATAGGGATAACTATCAACTACGTAATATGGACTCTTCAAAATAAATCAAACACCCATGTCGGACACTCGACACTTGGACAAGGATGTGGGATACGTGTCCGATACTTTTCATCGGACCCTTATATATTTGTATTTAACATTATCATTAGATGTATATATTGTTGTAGAATTTCTATAAAATGAGTAAAATACCTTTTTGACATTGTACATTACATATAACACCATTTCATCTAACATAATAGATTTTATTTGACACCATTTTTTAAGACAAATTCGAGAATATTGAGTCATTATAGGATAGAATAGAAGCTTCTTTTGGGGCTTCCATTTCCTCTCCGTTTAAAGTGACTCCTTTCTTTTTGATTTATTCATATTAGAGAACAATGTGTGAGTAGTTTCGAGGTTTTGTTTTCCTTTGTTCTTGTGGTTTGTATTGACTCCTTGTCCTCTTGATTGTACCTTTTTTGTCCTTTTAAAAATTTCCTTTTCATTGTCGATCTAAAAAAAAGGAGGAAGGGAAGAAGAACACAATGGCCACAGTCGTAATCACAACCACCACAACCTAAACACAATATACTATTAGTCCCAAAGCTAAATAATATAAAGTAAAACCCTAATATTTATAGGTAAAAGCCTAATTCAAAATAGGAACTAAATCTTAATATTATTTTGGAAACTAAAATCCTTAAAAATAAGAAACCAAATACAAATAAGATCCTCCTAATTCAATTATAATAGAAATAAAAATATTAATGACATCAAATTATACAATTGTAGATAAAATATTCATGCCAAAATTTGTGCTCATACGTTCCGCATCATTTGCCTTGACTGAAAAAAGAACTCATCCTTAAGTTCTTGTTGAAATATTGAACTCATCCATGCCAACAAATCAAGTATTTTGAATATGCTAGTTACTTGATCTTTTTTTTCATTCTAACTTATTCTTTCTGGTCAGCCTGTTGACGAGATCCACCAAATATGGTTTGAACATGCAAATGAGATCTTCTTCAGCTCATAAAATCAACCATTTCGAACTTGATTAAGTAATCTGTTCATGACGGATCAATAGGAAACTCTTGCCTTCCAAATACCATTTCTTGGATTTTGAATCAATTTTCTCATGCTTTGGAATCTCTTGATCAACAATTTCCACGAGATCATCACAGTACTTTTGGCAATTTTAAAGTACATCCTAAAACACAAGTCAACAATTTGTCCAAAATTGCTTTGATCTAAATCATCTGTTCTAGCATCCACTCTTGACGTTTGTGCATTTCTTGTTGGCCTTGAGAAAAAACTTTCAAACTGTAAACACAACTCTTGCTGGTCTTGAGAAAATGCGTCAAGCCTTGAATATAACTTTAAATTGGCTACCATTGGTAATATATATATATATATATATTTATGGGAAAGAGCAAAAAAAAATTTGTTCAGATCAAATCTTCAAGGTTGTATGGAGGCAACCACGATGATCTGCTCCAGGTGACAGTGATGACGGTTCAAAGCAACGAAGGCGTGGCAAGAAGGCAACCATGTTGATCAAACAAAAGAGGTGGTTTTTGGCTCTATACCAAATTGATGTAGAACATTGCAGGGAAAGAAAAGAGAGATGAAATGGAATGGAAGAGCACAAGGCCCAAAGGGCTAATCACAGTAGCCAGAGTCTTAATACTCAATATTATTAGTACCAAAGTTAATAAAATACAAAGTAAAACTATATTTATCTGCTAAAAAACCCTATTCAAAATAAAGAACTAAATCCTAATATTATTTGGAAACTAGAATCCCTAAAACTAAGAAATCAAAATATTATAAGATCCTCCAAATCAAATTATAATTAAAATTAAAAAAATATTAAAGAGAAAATTATACAACTGTGAATAAAATTTCCATGCCAAATTGGTGCTTGCACATTCCGCATCACACAGTCAATACTATGCTCTAGATGCAAAGTTTAACTCCGATCAATACTCCACTTAAACCTATGCTTTGGGTTACTTGAACTAAAGGTGAGCTCAGCCATCGCTACAACGAGAGTTGATAGAAAAGCCATACTCAACAACAAAAACTAATGTTCAAGCATAAGCATGTCCCTTTAGTTATCTAAAATACACAATGCACATATCACTGTATATAGATAGCAAACCAATTATGAATAGCATATACTATAAAGATTTAGTACATATAAAATCCAAAAGACAATTAGGTGAGTTATTAATGTTTTTGCGGTGGTTGACTTGTCAATTCGAGTACTTAGTGGTAAATCCTTTAAACACCCACAATTGAATCTATTCAAACCCATACACAAATGTATAGGAACAAATACAAAGTTCTGAACATGGATTAGATTGTGATGATACAAGTTTGTGCACATGTAGATGTAGGATATCAAACAGATAAACAACAGCTAAAATTGTTTTCATAAAGAACATATGAATTCCGCAAGCAGTCAAATTCAAAGAGAACCACCATAGGGCCAACCAATAACCTGAAGGGAAAAGAAAAAAAAAAACCAATTGAAACCTAGAAATTAAGCCCAAAAACTTGTGTATCTGGATTATCAATTTGAATCAAGAGATAAACCAATGTGCAACATAGGGGTCAAACAATAACCCCAATTTCGACCAGTAAACTAAAACAAAAACTTAGGCATTTTGAATATCAATTTGAATCAAGAGATAAACGAATACATCAATTTTATAAAGCAGAAAAACGCAGTCGATTTGCATTCACATACGACTGGAACAGCATAACCAATTAAAACCCAGAAACGAAACCCAAAAAAAAACTTAAAACTTTCGAGCATCAACAGAAAACCCAGATGTTAATTTCACACAACAAACCAAGAACACCATTGGGTTGAAAAATTGAAATAGTATAATTCAAACAAACAAGCGACCCACAACGAATTTAAAATCAAAAAGCACATATAACAAATCAAACAATGAAAACAAACACATGAAAGCACAAATATATGTGAAATTAGCAAAGAGAAATGAGAAATTGAAGGCATTTGGGGGAAGAAAAAGACGTACATCGGAGAGAGTATGGAGTATTCGCCGGAGATACCAAAGATTGGAGGAGTAAGAGGAGGAGGAGGAGGAGCTCTGATGAACGTGTGGAGGACACAGACAGAGCCCGGCGTTATATGGGTGACCTGCTCAGCCGGTTATAATGTCCAGGTGCCGGTCGGATTGCGTTTGTTGAACCGTTCCACGTGACGTCACGTATAACGCAATAGCCATGCATGTTTGGTTAGAAAATAAATAAATAATCAAAATGGTATCCCAAAATAGAAATTTTTATTTTTATTTTTGTTTTTTCAAAAAAGGAAATAATTCATGGGTAATAATGGGCGTGTGTTTGTGTGTCTGTATCCCAGTGGCATGAATAATAAAGGGAAAAATATTTATTAGTCTTATTAGGAGGATTTATCATAGGTGTCACGTTACGTTACGTTTATGTAAAAGTAATCTATGGTAACATGCAATTTTTTAAGAAATTACATATTATTATAGATCATAGGTATCACGTTACGTTTATGTTACATTACGTTACGTTTATATAGATATGATATATGGTAATATTCAATTTCTTATATATGGTTTTACTATTATTTATTATATTAACAACTAATATTGAGGGTAAATATGTTAACAAACTTCCCACAAGACTTATGATAATATAAATTTTTTAATAAGATTAAGAAATTGAATGTTGCCATAGATCATATTTATATGAAGGAAATTGAATGTTGTCATAGATCATATTTATATGAAGCGTAACGTGATATCAACATAAACAAACAATATTTTCACATTCAATTTTAAAAAATAAAAACTCATTAAGTTTGCGAAACGTAACATGACACGTTACGTTACATTTATGTAGGTGTCACGTCGTGATACCTATGATCTATAATAATATGTAATTTCTTAGGAAATTGCATGTTACCATAGATCATTTTTACATAAACGTAACGTAACGTGACACCTATATAGGAAATTGAATGTTGTCATAGATCATATTTATATGAAGGAAATTGAATGTTGTCATAGATCATATTTATATGAAGCGTAACGTGATATCAACATAAACAAACAATATTTTCACATTCAATTTTAAAAAATAAAAACTCATTAAGTTTGCGAAACGTAACGTGACACGTTACGTTACATTTATGTAGGTGTCACGTTACGTTAGGTTTATATAGGTGTCACGTGACGTTACATTTATGTAGGTGTCACGTGACGTTATGTTTATGTAGGATCTTGTGGAATACATTCCTATCTAAATAGGACTTGAGACTCTATAAGAAATTATATAGGACTTAGCATACCATAAGTGTCTGAAAAATGACTTATAAATAAATCTTCCATAATAAAAATAAACAAATCTTTTTTTTTTAATTTTCTTTTCTTTTCTTTATATAGAATTTAGCTATATACTTGTGTTTTCACATACCAAAAATAATATTTATAATGATAATCTGAAATTGTAAGAAAAAACAAACAAATATTTGATGTACCAATATAAAAAAATAGTATATTAATCAGTACGGTATTAATAGTCATGACTCATGCCAATAGGATATATATATATATATATATTTATTTATTCATGATACTTGGTGGTAGAGGGAGTTATTTATTTATTTATTTATTTTACCAAACTTAAATTATTTGGAAACAAAAATTTCAAACTCAAATTATTTTCTAAACTTTAGTTAGTTTTTTTTTTTTTTTTTTAAGATTTAGATAAAGAGATTTTTTTAAACAACAATGCTACAGATCACTAAATTTTTATCACTAACATCACCACTAATGATGTGGCAAGTAAAAAAAAACAAAAAATACAAAAATTAAGACACAAAACATATGTGGCAAACTCACTGCCACATCCCTAGTGCAACCACTAATTAGTGGTCTGCTTCATTTTTCTTTTTCAAAAGATTTAGATGGAGAGATGGGAGAGAGAGAGAAACAGCAACCTAAAGACACAGTTAAACTTGAGTTGTTTGGAAAGTCGGGTTCTCAAATCATGATTTGTAAATTTAAAATAATATTCTCAAATTTAAAAAAATATATTCAATTCATGAAATACAAAAAATACGACTTTATGATGTCATTCGATGAAACTCATGGCTACATGATAATTATCTTTTTTCAAGATGCCGAATTTCTTTCTTTTTATGATGTCATTACATCCGGATCATTTCTTTCTTTCTTTTTTTCTTCTTCTTAAACATACTGTTGTTTGTGTGAAAAAGACCCAATTGACTATATGATATATGTATTTTTTTTTTTCTTTTTTTTGATAAAAAATAATATCAAGAATTTTTATCATTTATGAAACTTTTTAAAGATATTTTTGTAAGAAGATCATATTCATTGCATCATGTAACAAGCCACACACTTAATTATATCATCCAATATTGTGAATCGTGTATAAATTTATGCATACTTTATCTATAAATGATGTGGATGTAATGTGCCGCATTTTTTTCTTAACAAGTTTTCTTATATATTACTATAGCAGTCGACAAAAAAAGAAAAAATAAATAAAAAAAAAAGAAAAGGAAGGGATTAATGAAAAAGAAAAAGAGGGAGGGATTTTAGTATCTCTTTTTTGGATCATAGTTTTCTTGCTTTTTGATTTTGGAAAAAAAAAATTGGAAATATACTTTACAAACACTTTTTTAAGAGTAATCAAATCAAATAGAATTTTCTAAAAAAATTCTCAGAAATGTGTTTGGTTATCCAATTTTCAGGATTACTTTTGAAACATATTTGTAAAAAAAACAAACCAAATAAGTTTTTGTACTTTTATCTCAAAAATTACTCTACAAAAAAGTAAACCAAACAAGTTTTTTGTACTTTTTATTTCAAAAACTACTCTACAAAAAGGTAAACTGAATAAGTTTTTGTATTTTTTTTATCTCAAAAACTACTCTACAAAAAAAACCAAAGTTATTTTAGAGAGAATATTTAGAAAAATGCAAACCAAACAAGTTTTTGTACTTTTTTATCTCAAAAACTACTCTACAAATACAAACCAAACACAACTATTTGGAGAAAATAAATAAATAAATAAATAAAGTTATTATGATTTGAACAAAAAGTTGGACAAGAAAGTTACTTGACCAAATATTAGGTTTGAACAAAAAGTTGGACAAGAAGGATACTTGACCAAATATTGTTTCATGTCTCATGTGTTAAATGTCACAAATAAATTTAGATCAATTATTCATAATAAATTTATTTGTGACATGATCATGCCACTATCAGATATAACAGTGAATAATTACTCATTATTTGGCAACTTATTTATCTAACATATTAAAATTTTCACACCTTTAACAAAAAGCTCCATCAAACATTTTTTTTACAATTTGTTTAAACATTTAGGTTAGTAATCTAAAAAGTCTAAATTTTCCAAAAGTAGACCAATTTGAACGAGATTCGAATTTTAACACTTCTTTCCACTTTAGCAGCGAAAGTGGACCATCGTTTCGTTTGGAAAGTGGGTTGGTTTTTTAATTTTTTGATTTTTTTAGTTATTTTAATCTGGGTTAAAAAGTTTGGTTTGAGAAGAATTTTTTAGTTTTTTTGACTTTTTTTGTGAGAGAATAGTGTAATGATTATGGGTTGGATGTGATGTTTTATTTGTTATAATTAAAATAGTTTATTTTATCTTTTGTGACTAAAATAGTCAAAAAAATTCATAAACTAACTTGTCAAATTTGATAGGGCGCGTGGCTGGCAACATTGTCATTGCTTCTAGAACACAGTTCAAATAATTGTATCTTGGTATTGGTTTTTTAGTTTTATTTTATATTTTTTTTTAGTATATCTTGGTAGTGGTTGGACCAAACTTTTTCACAATTTGTGTGCATCAACACAAGAAAACTTTCCGTTTGGGAAGTGGGTTGGCTTTTTGGCTTTTTGGCTTTTTTGGCTATTTTAGTCTGGGCTAAAAAGCTTGGTTTGGGAAGGGCTTTTTGGCTTTTTGACTTTTTTGACTTTTTTTGTGAGAGAAGAATGTAATGATTATGGGTTGGATGTGATGTTTTGTTTGTTATGGCTAAAATAGCCTATTTTGTTTTTGTGGCTAAAATAGCCAAAAAAGCCTGAAAACCATCTTGCCAAACAGAGGCATAGTGTTCGTTTGGGAAGTTTAGTTTTGGATTTTTTTTTGTTAAAATAATTATAAAAAATAAAATAAGTTTTTTAATTTAATAAGATAAAATATTACATCCAACTTATAATCATTACATTTTTTCTCTCACAAAAAAGTCAAATAAGCCAAAAAAAATCAAAAAAATTTCCAAACGAAATTTTTTAGCCTTATGCTAAAATAGCTAAAAAAGTCAAAATATCAAAAAGTCAACCCACTTTCCAAACGAACCCATATTATGCCTGATTGGATAGTATTCTCACATTTCACTAGAAATTAATGATCTAAATCTCCCCATTTACAAATGAGTTTTATTTCATGTGTATTTATTGGGACTTTTATGTCTCAGTTTCTTTGTGTAAATTGTATATTACATTTGATTTTCGTTATTATGATTGTAATTCATTAAATTTTATTAGCATACCATATACAAACCAAATTTTTTTTTTAAAAAAAAAAAAAAAAGCACAGGAAAAAAAGGGTCTGACTTTAATAAACAATTTTATTATATTAACAAAAAATAAGCATGTTGCATGTAAAGGGCTTTTTCATTCTGTTCCCCATTCATGTCATGGGTTTAACGTTCATTGCTCACTAAAAACTTCTTCTTCTTTGTTTTCTGTTTTTATTTATGTAATCTGGGTGGTCAGGATTATCTATTTTTAAATTTTCTATTCATTTAATTTTAATGCATTTTCAATCTTACGACATGGCGAAAATTTAAAAATACTAGAAAAGATGTTTGATAAAGTAGTTTATATTCAAATTTTTTTATAGATATACACATACATATATATAAAATATATATAATAACAAAAAAAATTGTAGGATCAAAATGTTATGCGATTCTATAATTTATGAATACAAATGTAATTATTTTCAAGTCATATTAAATTTAAAATTTTAGTTTCATTCGGATCATATACTCAATATCCTCGGATTGAGATTATGATAACTTGATAAGCATCGCTGCATCAGCATTCGAAGTTGAGATTGTGGGTAGGCCAGAGATGGCA